CATCCTGGGAAAATCTGGGCCAGAGGAATTCCGTGCTGATGTTTTCCGAGAAGTGCCCTTCGGATGATCTTGGGAACTTGGCAGGATGGAGCTGCTGCTTTGTGGGCATTGCAGGATTGTAGGAAATATCTCAGACAAAACACTTGTGTGTGTAGGGAAATTGTGTCGCTTGCAGGCGGTGGAAATGCAGCTCTGAGCCCTGAGGCTCCTGGTGAAGCTGCTGCACTTGCTTCTCATCAAAGAAGTTCCTTTTGCATGTTAAAAGAGAGGGAAAAAGGGCAAGAGAGACGTGAACTTTTGTGCAGGTGATACTGTTCACATCATGGGAGCCTTTTGGTCCTGAATGAACTCCTTGACAGGGTGGGAACTAATTCTGCTCCCAGCCTCTCTCTGTTCCCATGGAATGATGCTCCATGGGTCCCATTCCAGCACCAAACTCAGGTATTTTTGTGAGCTGCTCTGGGCAGTCTGGCTTGCACAGAAATGTTTGTGGATGGCAGCTCCCAGCAGTGCAACTTGTTGTAGCTACAAAAGGGCTGCCTGTGAAATCCTCTGCTCTTGGGGAGCTCTGTGTGATTTTTTTGAGGACACCAAGTCTTGACACTAATTGTACCTTGCTTGTCCTGCTCCCTTTGTGTATTCAGATGAGATTTGTTTTGTGCTAGTAGGGAGATTTGTCCGGTTCTTAGGGGCCAAATAAGTAATTTTTGAATTGCTTGTTAAGCTGTGGCAGGCTCTGGCTCTTCTGCCTGCAGATGTGAGGAGGAATAAAGGGCTCCCAGGGTGAATGGCTGCTCTGTGCTCTGGCACACTGGGGCTCCAGCTGTGCTTGTGTGGGCACTGGACTCTCGTCTTGTCCAGCACAGTGAAGAGTTAACCAAGCCACCTGCCCCACATGCTCTTGGGGCTGTCCCTACCCTGTCACTTCTCATCAGGAATTTGAAACTTGCCAGTGTCTTGCACAAGGAGTTTAATATTTCGAATCTCCATGCATTGCTCCTATCTGCCATGTGCTTCAGCATATTGATTACACAGAGCTGGCTTTGTGGGTTGCCTTGTAAATGGAGACTTTCCTGTTTTGCCTTGTGGCTTGGGAGCTGGGATGTGATCCTGCAGGAAATGTCTCCTTTGCCAGCCACTCTGGGCTTCCCCCATGTGCTCCTGCTGTAAATCTTTAGTGCTCTTAACTCAGTAACTCACTGAGGTGCAGTTAATGGCTGAGCAAAAGTCAGTGTTAGTCTCAGGAAACACTTCTTGGAAAAGCATGATCAAGTGATTCTGTGGTGCCACAGTCACAGAATCTTCTTTTTGTACAGAATGACAGAAGGGTACGTTTCTGAATCTGCAGTTTTCTGGGAATACTTAGAATGCTTCAGCCACAGCAGTACAGGGTTAATCTGATATAGGAACCAAGCCTCAAGTCCCCTCTGTTCCTAGGGACTCTTGTCAGGGCAAAACCCTTTATTTCTGTGTCAAGGAAAGGCTTTAGAGGCACAAAAGCTCCTTATCTGCTGAATGATAGCAAATGCCTTGGAGATGTGCTGGTGCTTCTGCAGTCCCCAGGATACTGTTCCAGGCTGCCCACATAGTTTGTGTCTGGAGTTATTCAACAATTTGGGCTGATACATGACTGAGTTTTCAAAAGGACAAACAGAGACACATAGATAAGCTCGTTGCTAACTCCAAAAAAAATGGTTCATTTCCCCAAAAATCCTTTATCTGAAAGTTTCTTTTCTGGGAGCTGTCTAGATCATTGACTGCAGGCTGCTGTGAAAAAACTTAAGGTCTCTGCAGGGCTTTGGAGTTTATGAACTGCTTTTCTGTCTCCTTTTGCTAAATCTGCTGCTCTGTGGGACTGGTCAGATGGGAAGAGCAGGGTAAACCCTTTGGGGATCTTTGTCCACCATAAAAACCTCTGCTCCTACCCCATTTCCAGTCTCACAAGCAGTTATTTGTCTGTGCAGAGACCTTCCCTGTCACTCCGTGGCAGCTGGGAGGTTGTTCTGTGTTAGAACCTGACAGCCTGACACAAGGTTGACTTCCCTTTTCTAAATGAGATCTGCATGACTACTCAGATTTACGCTTTGTTGGGCAATGTTTGCCCTGGCTTCTCTTCCCTGGATATTCTATTACTCATTACTGTTCAAATCCTAGCAAATAAATAAATGATTTTTGCTATGGCAACAAGAACTTATTGGTTGAACAGCACAATATTTCCTGAAAAGCCTGCTTTACTTTTTCCAGTGTGTCTGATTGCTGGGCAGAGTATTTATATATATATTTATATATATGTATATATGAGTTTGGGTTGGACCCCGGGTTTCTGACACAGCTGTGGGTGAAGCCTCCAGCTGAGCAAAGAGTGACAAATCCCTGCAAACATCCACAGCTGAAGGGTGCAAAATTCTTCCTTGCCACAACTGGCAGCTGCTGCTGGGGCAGAGACAGGGGAAGCAGTGCTGAGACAGGCTGAGCAGAGGCCTCTGGCTGGGCTCCAGCAAGCTGGGCTCTGCTGGGACACGCTTGTCTTCTAAAGAAACGTCCCCTGTTGCCTTTTGTGTTCCCATAAAAGTCTCTGTGGTCTGGCAAAGCGCTGCTGGCTGTGCAAACCTGTTGTCTGTGCCATGACTGGGCTCTTGGTTTTCCTTTTTAGCTGGTTCCTGGGACTGAAGCTGCCTGTTCCTTGCACACAGCGCTCAGTTGTGCTCTGTAGCCACTCAGAGCATTTCTCTGCCCCCTGTGTCCCCTGGTTTTGCCTGAATGCTTCGCCCTCCCTGTTCTGTTGGGTCAAGCAGAGCTGCTTTGTGCTTCCCTGAATTCCTCTGCTGCTTAGAGAGGGGAGCTCAGGTGCTGCCACAGCAGGTTTTGGGGTTTGGGGCTCTCTCCCCATGGGCAGGGCTGACTGAATGCCCCAGGGCCCATCCTGTGCCAGTGCCTGGTGTTTGCTCTGCCTGGGTGTGCCCAGGGGATCAGTGAGCAGCCCTGGGGCTCTGCCTGCTGCAGGCTCTGGGAGCAGGGCTGGGATCTGCCCTAGGACAGATCCCTGTGGTGTGGGGGAACTGGTGCCACGGTGCCCCTGTGCCACACACCTGCCTGGGTGAGCCTTGCAGGTGATCTTGGCCCAGCTGTGCCCCTGTGCCAGGGCCTGACTGCTCTGTGTGAAGGGCTCCAGCATTGCTTGAGTTGACTGTGGAGAGTGGGAGCTGTTGAGTTTGGGGTTGTTGTTGTCTCTGTTCTCTCTGTGGGATGTTGGTGTCTTCAGACTCTTTCTGCTCTGTTCTGCCCTGTGGTTTTGCTCCCTGCTGAGGCTGTTTTCTCCTCCAGCACTGCATGCACCTTTGGTCTACTCTGTACTCAAAAGTAATTTTCTTAGAGATTTCCTCCAGATAGCAGAAACCCAGGAGCGTTTAGTTCCATCTCCCAAGCTTAAATTCTAAACTCCAAGGCATATCTCTCCTGTCTGCTTTGTTTTCCATGTTCAGCCAAGTACTTCTTGCCCTTCAGTGCCACTGGCAGTGCTGGTCAGTGGCCTGTGTGCAGTTCCTGGTCTGGCAGCATGGCTCATCCCCACAGGACAGTCACCACATTGTGAGCACTGACAGCCTGGCTCGGATCAGGGAACATCTAGGTCAGCAGCAGGGATGGGAAATTCAGGGAGCAGCAGCTGGGATGCTCTTAGCTTCAGGACCATTTAATTCCAACCCCTTTTCTCTGAAATAGAATCTCTCTTCTCCTCGTGTGTCATTTGGGGAGACTCAGAGCGGCTCTGGCTGGGGCAGGGAATGGGGAAAGGCAGCTGGTTCCCTCCATCCTCCTTCTCCTGGGAGCAGCCTGTGTCCAAGTGCCATCCTGCCCTGGGCCAGAGTGGCACAGAGCTCCAGCTGTGGATTTGCAGTGTGCAGGAGCTGCAGCTGCTCCCTCTGTTGCCCAGATTTGACCTAAACTGCTCTTGTGGTTTGCTGAAAAGCAGCAGTGAAATTCTCCCTGTCTGCTCTGATCCCCCCAGGGCTCCTGGGCATGGGCAGCACAGGTTGTGACCTGTTGGCCGCTCTGGCCCTTGGGGACATCCAGATGTGACTTTGGCAGCCCCTAGCAGTGTCACTCCAGTGCTCCAGCTGCTGCTGTGACAGGGAATGGGTGCCCCTGGGCACGGTGGTGCCTGAGGGCTGCTTGGGGCCAGGTGCCACTTCCCAGCCTCTGGGGATTTTCTGTACGACAGAAATATGGGATAAATGTGCTGCACTTGCCCCTGGCCAGTCATTACACAGCATCTGGAGAGAGAGATCAGAACCATCAGGCTCCTGTCCACAAGCTGCCACGTCCTTTCCATTCTGTTCATAACCCTATTAGCTGAATTTTAATTGTATTTAGAAGTAAAGGGATCACAACACCCTTTTAGACAGCTGCTCCTGAACCTTGATCTGTGTTGGCTAAATACTTCCCTACTTTTGGCATGAACTTACTCCTGGCAGGCTTATCCTCCTTGTTTGTCTGATGTGTGCTGGCATCAGCAGTTCTCTTCTCCTTGGTGGTTATTTTCTGGAGTACTTACAAAGAGCTGTTGTGCTTTTTCTCCACCTTCACTTTTGCTGGTGTGAAGTTTTTGCCAGTGAATCTCCTCTGCACCTGTTGAGGTGACCTGTAACCAGATCCCTGGAGCACAGCGGTAGATAATGATTAGGACAGGCAAGGCTGCAGGGGAACAAACCCTTCCCTCAGCTTTTCTTCTCAGCTTGGACAAGCACATCTGGAGCTACTTCCACCACCTGCTGGGTGTCACAGGGAGGAGAGAGCCAGGCAGTCCCTGTTTCCAGCAGAAATGCCTTGCTTCATTCCTGGTTCATTTCAGCAGCATCCTAATGATAATTACAGTCCTACAGCCAATCCCAAATTTTCTTCCTCAGTTATTCACAGGTGATGAACTTCTCTTAGTGCAAGGATTGCTGTTGACTCTATTTTCAGTTGAGTCTCCCTGATAATTCTCCTTTGCTCTTGCCCAGATGAAGATCTCTTTCAACGAGACGAGTTTGCAGACGATGTTTGAGTACCCTTCAGAGAGCTCCCTGGCAGAAGAGGATGAGGAAGAGGAAGGACACACTTCTGAAACAGAGGAGGAAAAATCTCCTACCTTTTATGTTCCACGCCCAAACAGCACTTTGCATCCCAGTACACCTAACTCAGGTGAGTGAGGCACTGTGTTGGCACCGTGGGGTTTCTGGTGGTGTTTGACACTGCTCACGTTTCCCATGAACTCTTAAGGGGCTCCACATGGGTGGAAATGCTGCAGATGGGCTGGCCCTGTTGGGATCCTGGTCCCACTTCTTTTTGGGGTGGTGAGAAATATTTACCTCATCTTTCTCCTTCCAGCAGATTTATCCAGCTACACCCCAAAGCACTCTGTGAAGTTCAGTGAGTGGCAGGAGCAGAAGTATGAGGGTCCTGCTGCAGAGGGACCCCTCCCAAAGGAAGCTGATGCCCATGGGAACCAAGTCATGGTGAGGCTATAAATAATCAACTCTTGTGCTCTTTTGTGGTGTGGGGTTTGTTCCAGGCAGTGGATGGGACAGGATGTGCCTTTCCCTGCACACCTGTGTTTGTGTTCCTGCCCAGGGAGCTGTGTCACTGCTCCCAAGGGACCAAAACACTGCCACTACCATAGCTGGCTCTGTGAAGGAGACTCAAGGCAGCTGGCACACTCTGTGCTCAGCACAGGAAAGACATGGGTCTGTTGGAACAAGTCCAGAGGAGGCCATGGAGATGCCTCTCTGCTCTGGAGCCAGGCTGGGAGAACAGGGGGCCTTCACCTGGAGAAGGGAAGGCTCCAGTGAGACCTCAGAGCCCCTTCCAGGACCTAAAGACAGCTTATAAAAAACAGGGAGATTGATTTTTTTATTTTTCTTTTAAATTGATAGGACAAGGGGGAACAGTTTTAAACTAAAAGAGATTTAGATTAGATATTGGGAAGAAATTGTGCCCTGTGAAGCTCTGGAAGTGTCCAAGGCCAGGCTGGATGGGGCTGGCAGCCACCTGGGATAGTGGAGTGTGTCCCTCCCTGCTCCTGGCACGAGGCTGGAACCAGATGGGTTTTAAAATCCCTTCCAACCCAAACCATTGCAGGACTTTGACACACCGGGGCACGTTTGGGGAGGGGGGGCACTAACTAAACACATCCAGCTCAGCCAGGCTGGGAGCCAAGGCACCATCCAAGGGTGAGGGGCTCTGACAGCACCGTGGTCTCCCTGTGCTCTGCCCACAGCTCACCCCGGCGGAGAAGGGCGGTCTCTCGGATTTCAGCAGCGAGCCCGCGCTCTATTTCTGAGGCTGCTCCGCGGTGCCTGCTCAGCCGGGCAGGACAGGAACCGCCACCCAAACCGCCCCCAAACCGCGGCTTTCCCCGGATCCTGCTGCCAAGGGTGGAACACCTGCTCTCGGGCATCTTCAGAGAATATTTGCACTGGATTTTGGGACCCAATTACTGCTTTCAAGGCATATGATTTATTCTGCCTGTGGCCTTGCATATTCCTTGTTCAAGATCAGCTGCCGGTTAGGCAAGTGTGGGAAGGACTTCTGTAATCCTGGGGTGGATGTTGATTTTTCTTACTGCTAGTCTGAGTCCAGGCACTGTGCAGGCTCTGGACAGCTTTTGCAACCCTTCTCCCCAGTGGAGGATTGCTCTGGAGTTGGAGCTCTGGGCAGCAAGGCAGGTTCACAGCGTGGCTGTGATTTGACACACTGGGTGTCACTGAAGCTTCAGGGTTTGTCCTTTGCGTGTTTCTGGCTCTGGTTTCACTGAAACATCATGGAATTCATGTGCCATGAGTTATGCCATGAAAAGCCAGTTACATGCTTGTGGAGTTCACTGAGAACACCCTGAGGGAGGGATGGGAAGAGCAATGAATGCCTTTAGCTTTAGGTGTTATTTTTGCACCAATGAGTAGAAAAATGTCCAGACTGTTTTGAGCCTCTTGAAGACTTCCAAACATTGGCCATAGCTTTGGTCTGTTCTTCCCAACTCTGGCATCCAGTCTCTGGGAATTGCTGGTTGTGCTCCAGTTTGCCAGCTCCTCTTGTTGCTTTGTCCCAGATCTGATTGATCTCTCTTGGTTGCTTCCTTCAAGCCACACTTGCTCTGCTCCTCTAATCAAAGCACAGGAGGGCAGTTTCACTCCTTTCTTCTGCAGAACTTGAACAAGGAATGTGGGTTATTTTTGTTTTTTCTAGGATTTTTATAGTTCTGTTGTAATTGTTTAATGCAGCCAATATGCAAAGGACTCTGCTAGAATCTTCCATTCAAGTTTTCTACTACTGTAAACTCAGGGTCAAAATTGCACTCTGGAACAGATGGAGCAGTGCTGCTAATGAGATTTGTACTTCGGGATTAAAAGAGATGTGGTGAGAACAGATCTGGCCTCTTTGGGCTTTATGGAATGAGTGGTACCCCCATGTGGGGTGTGATCCAAAGGAACAGGCTGGTATCTTTGATTAAATTTGATGGTTACTGGTTTGTCTCTTATAGATGGTATCTGCTCAAGTGACACTGGTCTGTGAACTGAAAATGCTTTGCATACCTTGCACTTGGTTTGGTGTCTGTTGTAGCAGCAAGGGAAGGTTGTTCTGCTAAAAAAAACACAGGATTAAATGTTAGGACATACATACTTGTAGCTGTTCCCTTCTGCCCTGGGTGCCTAAATACTTTTGGAAAGATAATGCAAAAAAAAAAAAAAAGAAAAAAAAAGAGCTACTCAGTAGTTTGTTAGATGTTGGTTGGGGGGGGCACAAAGAAACATTTTGCACGTCCTTGTCCATTCCAAGCTGATTTCAGATCTGCTGCCTGTGTGACTTGCCAGAAGCAGGATGTGTCTGCAGTGCATCTGCCTGGGACATGACACAAGGACCATGGAGTTCCAGGTGTTGAGGCTTCTCCCATTAATGAAATACTTCAGGATAAGGTGCTGAGACTGGGGTGGAATCAGGGAAAATGTGAGACTGCTGCTGACTGCTACATTTAAGGGATGAGTTTTCAGCAGAGCTTTTCTAGCAAAAAATGCCCCAGTGAACATCTTTCCCTGTGGAAAAGCCCAGGTCAGTTTAAGGCAGCTCTGTTTCTAGCACAACTGCAGGTGGTAAAGCAAAGCTGCTTTCAATTCAAGTTAGGGACAAGGGGTCTGAACTAGCCCTGGCTTAGTTCTCCTATAGATCCATGAGGAATGCTAAAGCCAACACTGTCCTGCAGCTCCAACACTGCTCTGGTTCTCGTGGGAGCCAATTCTGTGCCTGCAGCCCTGTGGGCAGGACAGCTCGGGGGTGTGGCAGTGCAGAGTGTGCTGCTGGCTCTCTGCTCCTTCCCCCGGTGATCCTGCTCTACCTCGGAGCTGGGATTCACACCTCACTGAGCACTCCTTTGCACTTCCCAGCTCCATGCCCTAATCCCTGCCCGGGTCCTCCAGCTCCCTGCGGGCAGAGCAGGGTGAGTGCTGTCCCAAGGGCAGGAGCTTTAGCTGATGGGTCACCTCCTGGGATGTGCCTCAGGATGGCTGTGCTTAAAATGAAGGGTATTTTTTTTTTGTAAATGCCTACCCTGATCTGGAGCATTTGAGGATAAGCTTTAGTGGATCTCTGACTAATACCAAAGCACGTCTAAAAGGAACATGTACTTCTGCAAAGCAAAGGCTTTTATTAAATGTGTGGCATCCTTGTCCCACAACAGCAGCTCTCTCTGGCCAACAGGACTTTCCAGGCTGAAGAAAAAGTTTAGGAATGCTTTTGTCGACGTACTCGTGGTCCTAATGAAGTGCTTTGTGGCTCAATGGCTTTACCAAGATCCCCCATTTCTTCCTTCAGGAGATCTAGCAATGTCTGAGAATTGTCCAGTATCTGGGAAAGAAATAAAAATAGCTTATTTTTACATAAACTGTTTCTCTTATGAATTCCCTTCCAATTCAACTGATCTGCCTTGCAGCAATAGGGGTTCTCCAGCCCTTCAGCCTCTAATTCCTGGTGATTTATTATCCTCGCTGTGGGAATATCTGTGGGAGAATTTCTGGTTTGTGTTCATATTCTGAATATGAAAGGCCCTAAGCAATTTATCTGCCTTGGAGCACTAGGCAGAGAACTGCCTGAAGCAGACTGGGGTGTATTTGGTTGGTTTGGGGGGCTTTTTTAAGGGAGATTTGGTACCTGGGCTTTTTAGATCAGTATTGAATTGTGCTCAGCAGACCCAGTCTTAACTCTTTTCCACTGTTACAACTGCACATTTTGGGTTTCTGACTTCAAGACTAACTCAAATCTACAGTGACCTTATGGCAGACTAGATCTGTTATTAATTTTCTCCTGTTTTTAGCTCACTGTGTACATAATCTAATATCCCTGCTTCCTATGCTCTAGGCTACAACATTTTAGGGGACCCTTCTGCCTGTCCATCTCACCAGTTAAAAATTTTAACACAGTGGACAAACTGTAACCAAATGTGATGGTTATAGTCCCAAAAAAAATATGTTCCTTTGAGTTTGTGGAAAATCACCAAGTGATCAGAGAGGAGCTGAGGCAGTGCCCCACAGGACAAGGTGCTGGAGGAAGGTGAAGTCCTGTGGGGGCTGGCAGAAAGCAAGGAGTGACAAAGCAGGAATGTACATCCACAGGAAAGGAACTCTGTTACTTTCTGTCTGTGGGACACCAGCATCTCCTCCTCACCACCTCCTTCTACCTCCTGTCTCAGTTCATTTCAATAAACAAATTCATCCGCAGGCTGGGGGTGTGACTTGGATCTCAGGTAAGGTTTCTTTTTACAGGGGCTGTTGGTTTGTGTACCTTACAACATAATTAAGCTTTTAAATTTTTATATGCGTTTCCCCCTTCACTTCAAACCATCAGGTCTTGAAGGAGGTCGAGGAAACAGCTCCAGCCTCATCTGACAAGTGATTGCCGGGGAAAGCACTGACTTGGGGACAGGAAGAGGAGCTGACACAGTAGTTGGTCACATCCAAAATGCAAACAGGAGAATTTAGGCAGCAGCTAATGGGGAAAGGGGTATTTCTGACACAAACTCTGCCTGGTCACCAAGAGGAAGATTGTTACTCATCTGAAAAGAGGCTGGGAAGATCCTTTTCTATAAAACAGAAAGCTGTTGGTGTTTAATACAGAACAGCTCTGCCCCTGTCTGTGGGGATCAAGCAGATCCTGCCTGGCAGTAACACACACAGGGACCAAAATGACAGTGCCAGCCCTCGTTCTTTCCTCCTTCCCATCTTCTACTGCCCCAACAATTAGACACTTTTAATGACATTATTCCATTAAAGATGAAAGAAACTACACTAAATCTTGGGCTCTCCTCCAGTCTCAACACACCGAGCGCCCTGAGCGCTGCTCGCTGTCAGTACCTGCCCGGAGGCCGTGTCCATGTCGGCGATGGTGCGGGCGATGTGGGCTCGGGCGGACCGGAGCCCGGCCAGGCTCTCGCTGGTGTCGGACAAGCGCCGGGAGAGCAGGGCGAGCCGAGCCTGCAGCCGGCTCCGCTCCACTTCCTTGGCCCGGATCCGCCCGCTCAGCTCGTTCTGCCGGGCGCGGAGCTCCGCCAGCCCTGCGGGACGGCAGCGTCAGACGGGCCCGCTCCCCCTGCCCGGTCCCCGGCCCCGCTGCCCGCCCGGCCCCGCTCACCCTCCCGCAGCGCCTCGTGGTGCCCCCGCAGCGCGGCCCCGGTGCCGCTCATCGCCGCCGCTCCGCCCCTTCCTGCGGCCCGAATGGAGCTCTCGGCCGCCTGGCACACGCTCAGCACCGCGCTGGTGCCGCCCGCCGCGCTGGGGCTGGTGAGCGGGGACCGGGCGGGGACCGAGCGGGGACCGAGCGGGGACCGAGCGGGCCCTCACGGGTCGCTGCGCTCCGCCGGGCACGGGGCAGGCCCGAGCCGCCGCCCCCCGGGATGCTCCGGCCTCGGCTCCTCCCCGGCCGGGCCTCGCCGGCTCTGGGTCCGCGGGGCGGGTGGGAACGGCCGGGGCTGAGGGAGGAACGGCCGGGGGTGAGGGAGGAACGGCCGGGGCTGAGGGAGGAACGGCCGGGGCTGAGGGAGGAACGGCCGGAGCTGGGGGAGGAACGGCCGGGGCTGAGGGAGGAACGGCCGGGGCTGAGGGAGGAACGGCCGGAGCTGGGGGAGGAACGGCCGGGGGTGAGGGAGGAACGGCCGGAGCTGGGGGAGGAACGGCTCGGGCCAGGGGAGGAACGGCCGGAGCTGCCGGGGCCGGGGAGGAGGGGAAGGAGCTCCTGGGTGTGCGGGGGGTGGTGGCTGCTGGGGGCTGTCAGGGAAGGGCCGCGGGTCCAGCCGCCCCTCTCCCTGTCAGCCCAACCAGGAGCAGGACCAAAAGGCCACAGCTTGCCCGGCCGTGCTGTGGCTCTGCTCCCACTCCGTCTGATGGAACTGGTGTTGGCCAAAGAAGGGTTTTGCTCCAGAGCCCTGTATTTTGGGTGCCCAAGGGTGGCTCACAGCATTCCCACCAGCAGCTGTGTCCTGCAGCAGCCACCAGCAGGGACAGCAGTGATGTGTGCGGGTGTGAGCCCTGGGAGGGTGCGCTGGGCATCCAGCGGTGGGCTGAGACCCTGGCAGGTCACCATGGAGGAGCAGCATCCCTGGCAGCAGAGTCCCAGTGTCCTCCAACAAATGCTTACCTTGTGTTCCCTCCACTTTCCAGGCAACCCCGAGGGCTGAAGCTGCGGGGCCGCTGCAGGATGCCGAGCTCCGGGCAGCCCTGGAGGTGCTGCAGTGCTACGACTTGCACTCCATCGTGGAGGAGTGGTTCATCGAGGTGCTGCAGACTGACCTGCAGGCGAATATCGCCCCCGAGTTCTGGATCTGCATTAGCCAGTATGAGAACATGGTTGAGGAGCCCCAGTGCGCAGTGCTGCTCCTGGACGCGTTCAGTCTGCTCAAGTGCCGCCTGGAGCCCTACCTGAACAGCCTGGAGCTCCTGGAGCAGTGGACCAAAGCAGGCCTGCTCCTGGGGACAGGTGCTCAGACGCTGAAGGAGAAGGTCTACACCATGTTCAAAGCTATCCTCTTCTTCTCCACGACCAAATCCTTCCAGGAGATGATCCAGCAGTTCTACAGCCGCACGTTCAGGATATACATGCGGCAGTGGAAGAAAGGAGAGGATGGAACGAACGAGAGTGAGAGCAGCATGAGTGAGCCCGAGCAGGAGAGTGACCCAGAGGAGGGCGGAGGAGAGGGCCAGCTCTGTGCAGGCTGCAGCAGCAAGAGGGAGCAGTGCTGGTGCCCTGAAGCCATGGGACAGTTCCAGCAGCTCAATGACATTCTGTAGGTATCTCATGGGGTGGTGGCTGTCACTCGGAGCAAGGGGGAGTCTGGATGGGGAGCAGCAGCAGGTTTTATTGATCCCTGAGAACAGGAGGAGCTGTGTGAGGTCAGGCTGTGTCATGGTGGTGGGTAGAGAACTCAGCATGGACTTTCTGCTTTCAACTGGTGGTTGAACAAGAGCAGATCTTTAGACAGAACATTCCTCTCCCTGGATATGAGAATATTCTCCTCTTGCTCTGAGGTCTCTGACCACAAAGAAGCAAGCTAGTGCAAGGTGTCCCTGCCCATGTCAGGGCTTTGGACTAGATGATCTTTAAAGTCTCTTCCAACCCAAACCATTCTCTGATTCTATGAAAACTCTTTAAAATTAAAAGGCTTTTGATGGCTGTAAATAATGTTAGTAAGGAAGATGGGATAGCAGTCATGCTGTGTGTTGCACATGTAGCACATCTCTGTGGGCTCTCGGAGCTTGTGGCCTGAGCTGGGCCTGCCTCAGTGGAATGCACAGGGAGGGTGGTGCCTTCAGCTATAAGATTTTCTTGATTTGCTGGTGCCTTTTCCCCCACACATTCCTGACGGTGTCCCTGTGCCCGCAGCCGCCGGCTGAATTTGCTGGAGAGGGTGAGCGCTGACGCTGTCACCACCATCTTGCACAGGATGATCGAGGAGAGGATGGAGCAGCGCTGCCGCGGGGAGTACGAGCACTCCTTCCTCAACGAGTTCCAAGAGGTAAGGCAGGTGCGGGGGCAGTGAGAGTCCTCCCTGGGAGATGTGCAGCTCTTGTTGGGTTTTAGCCAACAGGCTAAAAGCAGATTCCAACTTAAACACCTGGTCCAGGGCTTTGACTTCCAGCAGGCCTGGCAGGAGAGGTGGCTAAAACTCCCAATTTTGGCTGATTGTGGAGGGGAAGGTTTGCTCTGACCTGTGCATGAAGGACTGCCACATTTCACCTCGTGATGTCTGTAGTAATGAGGGAATTTCTGTGGTTCCAGTTTACAAACCACAAGATCAGCACCTGGCCAGCAGAGGGCCCTCCCTCTGTGTAGGTGAGCCCATAATTAGAATATCCTGTATCTTCAGTTAAAGTTCCAATTCTTTCAGCTGGGCTTTCCCCAGCTATAACCCAGACTGGGGCACATTTGAAGAGCAGCTGGGGGTGATGCTGTCCTGGTCCAGCTGCCCCTTTCTGGCAGCTGGGGTGGGTTAGGATGTGGCATCCAGCTCTGTGTTCACATCTGTTTCTCCCTTTCATCTGCAGTGGAT